TCTCCTGGCTCGGTCCTTTCCGTCTTCCATGTAGATTGAGCTCACTGGCCTCTCCGGGACTCCCTGAGTGGTACCCACCCTCAGATGCCACCCGCCTGGTTGTCTTTGCCCTGATGTCTTTACTCTCTGCATTCTGCACCACCGTTCAGGGTGGATGGCTCCCTTCTTTATTCCCCGTACTTGGGACTGTCTTTAAGTGAGTTTTTATGTGAACATCCCACAGCCAGTGCTGGCATCCTTCACACCCTGTATTTCATATTCCCAGGTCCAAGATGATCTTGTTTTACCTACGTCCTACTTTCTGACCTTCTGTTTGGTCCGCTATTCATTCTATGTCTGACTCTGAGATGTTACAGGACCACAGCTGGGTCCTCTCTCTGGCTTCCCCATTCCCTGGGGTCATCTCTGCTGTTGTACGCTGGGTTCCGGCTGTGTGCTGTGAGTCCTGAGTCACAAGCCGTATGCCTCCCTGGCTCTCCGCTGCTACTGCAGATCTCCCCCAGGGGCTTCTTGAGTAGAGGCATCTCATGCCAGTCTCCCAGTTTAGATATGCCTCCCACGCCCCTCCCTCTTCTCTCCTGTGCACACGTCGGCTGCAGTGCCAGCGCCCCACCCCTGCATGGGCCCCACCCCTGCATGGGCCAGAGGCCACCATAGTCCTCAGGGCTTCTGCCTTTTGTCTCACGCGAGTGTCCGTGCTCTGCTCGGCTGTCTCTGGTCCCATCGCTTCTGCTGCAGTGGCCACCTGCCTTGCCACCTCTGCACGTTCTCTGAATTGCTTTGTTGTTTTGCCAAGGCATTTTTGATCACGCTCCTTACCAGTGTCTCCCGCTGTGTCCGGTGTCGGGGTGGGGCCTTTATAGTTCAGTTGCTAGCTTACGGACGTTTGATGTTCCCTAGAACCTCTGTGCCAAGCACCACCGACCAGAGCAAACTCCACAGCAGGGTTTGGTCTCTCCTGGATCGGTAGACCTAAGGGGAAGTGCTGACAGAGATGAGAGAGGACCCTGTCACACTTGTCCTCAGGTGGTAGGCACAGGTCTCCACTCCCTAGACCCCCGCCTCTGGTCTGTATCTGCCGTGGTCTGTGGTTTATGTCCTCCCTGGAGCTGGCTATATCTCTGTCTGCCACAACCTTATTTCTGAGCAGTTTCACACTCAAGGGTTCTTGGTTTTGTTTTGTTTTAGTTTATTTATTTATTTTATGTGTTTTTTTTTTTCTTTTTGTCTTCATGTATGCTTGTGCACCATGAACCTGCCCGGTTCCCAGCAAAGGTCAGATCCCATGTAACTGGAGTTACAGACAGTTTTGCAGTTTTGAAACACCATGTGAATGCTGAGAATCAACCTGGGGTCCTCTTAACCACTGAGCCATCTTTCCAGCCCTCGTTCTTGAATTTTCAGGGGATCCTATTCACCCTCTGTCAACCATTCAGCCCCAACCCTTCTGTCCTCCCTCGCTCGTGTCGCTGTTATTTATGGTATTCATGTTGGGTGGGTGAGAACTCACCAAACGGAAGCCTCCAGGCAGAGGTGAGAGCTCCCCAGACAGACGGAAGCCTCCAGGCAGAAGGAAGCAGACGCTCTAAGGTCCACAGAGGAGGAGACTGTGGTCAGACTTCTAGTTTCGTTTGCTCTTTCTCTCTCGTGTGCTTCACAGCGCAGTAAGCAGTAGGCTTTGCCTCTCTTGGGACGGCTCTGCCCTCTTTCTCTAGGGGCGTTTCTGTTTTCTCTGTGCACTCTGCGGCTCCGCTGTGTTTTGATTTCTGATTGTTGGGCTGTGTGATCTTTGGTGAGATGGTGCTACTTGAACCTGGAGGGCAGGTGTGGGGTGTGCACCCTGTCACTGCCTGACACAGGGCAGGTGCTAGGAATGTTTCTGAGTCCACATCCCGTCCATTTAACCCTGTAAGACAGGCGGCATATCCCTTGGGGATCTTTGCCTTCGATGAAGAGTTAGACCATGGAGGTAGTTGTTCTGGGTAACCTCAGGCTCCTTCCACACAGAGGTCATGTGACCCCAACCCCTTCCAGGAACAACAAATTTGAAAGTCAGGAGGCTGAGAGATGCAGGTGGAGCAGCCTCTTGGTTCTCAAAGAGGGTCTCACTGTCTTGGGAAGAACGCAGTGCCAACCAATTGGGACATTGTACCAAGGGGTGCAGTCAGAGCTCAGAGTGATGTGCACCCCAGTCCTAACGTGGAGCAGGCAGCGCTGGCAACAAAGCTTTCCCCTCATGCAGACACCTTGGCGATTCTCCATGTTCTTACTCTGGCAAAAGGATTGTAAAGTCTATAATTTAACTAACACTGTTTGGATTCATATTGCAGTTGAATTGGTTTGAATGCCATGTTAAAGACATGCAGAATGGCCCTTTGTTTTTGATGGGTGTGGGAAAACTAACAAGCAAGGCATTTCTATACGTTCCTGCAGGGGCAGCCAGGCTGCAAGGAGAGCAAGGCATTTCTATACGTTCCTGCAGGGGCAGCCTGGATACAAGGAGAGCAAGGCATTTCTATAAGTTCCTACAGGGACAGCCTGGCTATAAGGAGAGCAAGGCATTTCTATACGTTCCTTCAGGGGCAGACTGGATATAAGGAGAGCAAAGCATTTCTATATGTTCCTGCAGGGGCAGCCAGGCTGCACGGGTATTTGGGAAACAGCAAGTGCTCTCCATGTAGATCCTTAAACACTCATTTTTCCAATTACAATGCAATGCGCTCTCTTGCCCTTGGGGCTCCATGCCACACTCCTTGGGTGTGTTTCACAGAATGTACACTGTTACTTTGGGGGAACAGTCCAAGGTAAATGCTGTTATTCAAATAACCCCCAAAAGAGCATGACCTATAAAACTATTTCAGAAGCCCAAGCTACAATAGTACTGCTGCCCAAAGCTCCCAGAGGAAGTGCTTAGCTGTTCCAGTGTGGGAAACAGCTTGGCTGTCGGGCTAATTTGTACAATAGACCGTGACTAGAATAGACAAGGATGGAACGAACACAGCTAACTGTAAACTAGATCAGCCGTGCCCAGCCTGCAGTGTGTGCAGTTGAGGCTAACACTGAAGGACCCCGTCCTGTGCGAACCCCAGAGGGCAGCCTCCTGGAGGGTGCTGCCGAGTTTGGGTTCACTGGGTTTCTTTCTCTGTTTCTGTTACATCAGGGATTCCAGGAAGGACTCATGGGAGCTTCGGGATGTTTGTGAGTGGATGATTGCCTATTTCTCGCTAACTTCTACTAGGGTTAGCGTTGAAAATTACTGTAGGATACAACCAGCAAGAGCTTCCTCACCCAGTGAAGGCACAGTCTGTCTGGACTAATGCTGTTCCCTCGTCTCTGCTCCAGAACTGTGGTTCTAACAGGCCGTCCACTGGGCCTGTGTCGTGGGAGTGATAGAGAAGCACGCGTCAATTGACTTCTCCATGTCTTGGTAACTGGATCTGCACACCCATTTCCTTTGTGAACCTGTATGTGTTGTTTCATGCATTTAAAAACAAAAACAAATGAGACAAACAAGCAAAAACCAAGGGATCTATGAACCCACAGCTGCAGAGGTAATGGGTGCCTGGGGCCAAGTCCTAGATCAGGAAAGGGGACAGCCATGGAAATTCTTGTGGGGTTCAAACCAAAGCCTGGAGGTTTTGTGCCAGCTGACGTGTTCTGTGGACATGTAAGGCGTTCCCCCGGGAAAGCTGACGGGGCTCTGGGAATGCGCACACTGCCTTTGCAGCCGCAGTCTCCTGCTGCCGGCACAAGCGCAGGCCTCCTGCACAGACCTTCTGCTGCAGGCCTCACACAGGCCTCCTGCCAGGACCTCCTGCACAGGCACAAGCACAGGCCTCTTGCATGGGCCCAGGCCTCACACAGGTTCTGCCTGCTCTTAGAGATGGTCAGGAGAGGATGCGCGTCCAGGTAGATCGAGCCTGTTGTCACTACAGTGAACCGTGGGGCTGGAACAGTGCAATCTAATACAGTGTAGAGGGTGCAGAGTTGTAGCTTGGGGGTCAAATTCTAACTGGGTCACTTGCCAGCTTTGGGACCTAGGGCCAGAAACCACTCCGAGCTTCCTTTCCCCTAGCTTCAAGCCTGTGGGTCGTCAGAAGGGCTCAAAGGAGGACACCCTGTTGTTAGCTTTTCCTGGTAATCTCTGGTGCTTATGACAGGCCAGGCATCAGTCTTCTTTATCATCTTTACGGGAGTGATCCAGTTTTTTCTTCATGACACCTGTATCACGTGACTACTTCAGAGAGGGGAAACTGAGGGTCAGAGGTCCTGTGACCTCATGGCCCAAGCCACAAGGCTGAGCTTCACTGGAGCCCAGTGCTCCCGCCTTCCCTGGCTTCTAATCAGATGGGGTTCCAAGGCATCCTTCAGTCTCCTGACATCCTGACACCCTGCTCTGTGTGTCTCCCAACCCTGGTGCCTCACCATAGATCTGTCCCAGCTGTGACCGTCTCGCCCTGGAGGTTTTAGGCGCTTATTCCAGCTGCTTTACAGACCACTGACAGAAAAAAAAAAAAAAAAAAAAAAAAAAACAGTTTTTCATAATGTTTCTTTGGCATTTTCCCAGATTCCAAAGAAGTAAAAAGCAAAACAGAAAACTAGAACTTTAAACCAGAACAAGTAAAAATAAAAACAACAACAAAACCCAGCAAAGGTCACTGTGACCTCTACCTGTTTCTTAATTGTGGTTCTGTTGAGGAGTCATTCTATGGGACAGGGGAGTGCTTCTTCTTCCTCTTCTCCTCCTCCTCTTCTTCCTCCTCCTTTTATTCTTGTCTGTGGAGTCATCAGTTCCTTCAAATTAATGTCAATTTAATGAAAAAGGGTCAACTCTGGGTCCGATACTGAAACAAACAGTAATGGACAGGCAGCAAGCTGGTGTCCATGAGCGACATGGGAATGCTCGCGTGTCTCCGAAACGGGGACAAGAGCAGCTCCTGGCAGAGTCGGGACAGCTTCCAGGCTTCTTGCTGCTGACCAGGCTGGCTCTTGCTTTCTAGTTCTTCCCCTACATCCTGCTGCTGTTCGCCATACTCCTGTACCTGCCCACGCTGTTCTGGCGCTTCGCAGCAGCCCCGCACCTCTGCTCAGATCTGAAGTTCATCATGGAAGAACTCGACAAAGTCTACAACCGTGCCATCAAGGCTGCCAAGAGCGCCCGGGACTTGGACCTGAGAGATGGACCTGGACCGCCAGGAGTGAATGAGAATGTGGGGCAAAGGTAACAGCGCCAGAAGGCTGCCCGTAGCCATCCTATATTGAGTTCCCTGCCCTTTCTCTTGCCGGGCTAGCCCAGAGTGCTGATTGCCACGAGTGGGTAGGTAGGTAGAGTGTCGTCTGCCACCAGCTCGCAAGGGACAACCCCTCCCCACTGTCCTCAGGTCAGTGTTCCTTTCCCTGGCCGGTCTCCTCCTTTGGAAAGTAGTTCTTCGAGGGATGATCAAAGTCTCAAACAGAGCTTGCTTGCTTTGATGTCTGTAATGGAAAAGCGCAGAGGATTCTGGGGCAATCAAACATATGGAAGGGATGAGAGAAATGGCCCCAATAGGTGGAGACCCTCCTTGTCACGTTCTTCCTCTGGCTCTGTCATTGCCAGTAATAGCAATAGTAGCAACAGCTGTCTTATGTCTAAGACTTCTTGCCGTATTCCTGTCATAGGGCTTCTGTTGCTGTGATAAGACACCATGACCAAAAGCAACTTGAAGGGGAAAGAGATTATTTTAGCTAACCATCCACCATTCCATTCCGTTATTGAAAGAGTGAGGGCAAGAACTCAAGCAGGGCAGGAGCTGATGCACAGGCCGTGGGGGAGAGCTGCTGACTGGCTCGCTCTCAATGGATGGCTCAGCCTGCTTCCTTACAGCGTCCAGGACTGCAAGTCCAGGGCGGCACTGCCCACAGTGACCTGGGCCCTCCCAAGTCACTCAACAGTCAAGTAAATGAAGCCCAAGCTTGTCCACAGGCCCCCTGCTACGGGTCTTTTTTCAGTTGAGGTCCCGCTTAGAAAAATGCTCTAGCTTGTGTCAAGGAGACAGAAACTAGCAGTCCAGTTCCAGGCTCTGTTTTAGTGCGCAACGTTCTTAATTAACTGCTCTGTTTGCCTCTTCCACCCTTTTGTTTCTAGGTGATAGATAAACACTGTCATGCAGTCTCTTCTGGGAGAGCCGGGGACCCGAACAATGCCATTTGGGTCCCCCGAGTTTCCCTAACCCTTCCTGGTAGAAACATATGTGTTCTAGTTGGGCTTAAAATTTCTTTATTAGCTTGCACAGAGAGAGATTGTAGTTTGAAAACAACAACAATAAACCGGCTGTTATTCTGGATCGGATAAATTTATTTAATAGACATTGAGCCCTGAGTACCGGGCATTTCCCTAAAACTTATTAAGTATTACTCACATTTAATCAACCAAATTGTCTTTAAACTATTAAAAGGGGGCCTGGAGAGATGACTCAGAGGTTAAGGGCACTTATTCCTCTTGCAGAGGGCCTGACTTTGGTTCCCAGAATCCACATGTTGACTTACAAATGCCTATAACTCCAGCTTCAGGCATCTAACACCCTCTTCTGGTTCCTGAGGGCACTACACACATGCAGGCAAAGTACTCATATAAACTCTTGAAAAGTCTAGAATATTATAATGAAAAAGAAGGTTTAAGCATGGTTTTACTCGTTAGTGCTTGAGTGAAGTTTTCAGTGTGCCGGCGTTGACCATGTCCGTGCCTTTGACATTTGATGAGACTGGCAAGCATCTCAGTTACTGTTGTTTGCTTCGTTTTCCAGTCTGTGGGAGATCTCTGAAAGTCACTTCAAGTACCCAATCGTGGAGCAGTACTTGAAGACGAAGAAGAACTCTCGTCATTTGATCGTGAAGTACATTGGCTGCCGACTGGTGATGCTGGCCGTCATCTTGCTGGCGTGTGTCTACTTGAGCTATTACTTCAGCCTCTCCTCACTGTCAGATGAGTTTCTGTGCAACATCAAATCGGGCATCCTGAGCAACGACAGCACCATTCCCGACCGCCTCCAGTGCAAGCTCATCGCCGTCGGCATCTTCCAGCTGCTCAGCTTCATCAACCTCATCGTGTACGCCCTGCTGGCCCCCGTGGTCATCTACACACTGTTCGTCCCGTTCCGGCAGAAGACAGACGTTCTCAAGGTCTACGAGATCCTGCCCACTTTCGACGTTCTGCATTTCAAGTCGGAAGGCTACAAAGACTTGAGCCTCTACAACCTCTTTCTGGAAGAGAACATAAGTGAGCTCAAATCATACAAGTGTCTTAAGGTGCTGGAGAACATTAAAAGCAACGGGCAGGGCATCGATCCCATGCTGCTCCTGACCAACCTAGGCATGATCAAGATGGATGTCTTTGATGGAAAGACCCCCATGTCCGCAGAGATCAAGGGACAGGACCAGGGGAGCCAGATGACGGAGTTCAAAGGTAGGCTTGGCTCTCTGGACAGGCACGCCTTTGTGTCAGTCGGGGCTCTCTTCACCTGCCTGTCACTTGGACCATTGCCCCAGTGATGTCCTGGGGAAGAGTGTGGGAACAAATTGCTGTTACCCCGGGTTTCCAAACAAGGATCAATCTGTACTTCTCCTCGGTCTCCTCTCTACCTACCCTCTGGTTCTTCTGTCTGTGTCGTGTTCTCTGTCTCCTGCCCCGCCTCTTGTTGTCTCTGTCTTGTCTTCCTGTCTGTACCTCCCATCTCGTTGTCCTTCTGCCTCTCCTTCTTTTTAGTATCGATTGTTTGTTCTTTGACAAGTACATACGTGTTTACAGTACATCTTGATATCATACCAGCTTCCCCACAATATATTCCCTAATATAGCCCCTTCCCACCTTCATATCCTTTCCTTTTCTTCTTTGACCCAATGAGTCCAGTTAGTGCTGCCTGCAAGGATGTTGATTGCTCATGTTGGCTGTCTTGTACAGGTGACCATTGCTGCAGTGAGCTGGGTACCAACCGCATCGTGTTCAGGAGCCAGCCAGCGTTTTGTCCCCCTGCCCCCTTGCTCTTAATTCTTTTCCCTCTTCATAGGCATTCCCAGAACTTTGATTCAGGGATTCGGGGTTTAGAATAAATGTCTCATTTAGGGCCGAGCGCTCAGCAGCCACTTCACTTGCTCTCAGAGCTTAAACCAGTCGTAAGTCTCTGCACTGGCTGCTGCCCACCGCAGAAGGAAGGGTTCTCCGGCCGAGGCCGCACTGATCTGTGGGTAGTACTGTCAATATATAGAAAGGAGTTTGATAACTTGTCCATTTGGCCTCTCTAGAACCTAGGACCTCCTGAGCTGTGGGCTTTGTACTGCGTTTACTGTACAAGTGTGAATTCCCTCCTCTGGAGCAGGCCTCATAAAACCAAGAGAGTGGTTGGTTACTCCCAAAGCCACCATTTGACTTTCTTTCTCAAAGAGGGAATTTATTGATTTTCTTGCCATGACCTGACTTCAGACTAGGAAGTAGACACGGTAAAACAATGTGTGTGTTGTGTGAGAAGTCCTCCCAGCGGAGTAAACAGCACCATGCACCCTGCTAGTCCTCCTTTCTAAACAGTGGTTTTAATTTTGACAGATTTGGACCTGAGCAGCGACACCACAACCAATAACGGCGAGAAGAACTCTCGACAGAGACTTCTGAATGCATCCTGCTGATGGCTTCGTTCTTGAGTTTCAAGTCCGTGGTTTCTGCGGCCGAAGCCCCGCTGTTGGGCCTGTAGCTAGTTGGCGGTAAAGTGTCTTTGTTAGTGATGTGGCGTGTGTCTTACCAGTCCCCGATAGACACAATGGCCAAAGTGTCGTCTGTCACAGTGATAGACGAGTGCCATGGAAGAAAGGATTAGAACTGTCCCACAAGACAAAATATGGAAATGAGTAATGGGCTCTGTCCGAGGTCCTCATCAAAGGGCTGCTAAGAGCATAGAGCCTTCTAGAGGCTTCTAGGGCCTCGAAGAAACGCCGTTCTGGACTGACATGTTGCGAGACCTGGAGCTTCCGGAGAGCAAGCACTCTGGGAGATGTCTTGTTTTATGAGATGATAATAAATGTGGCAGGATATAATTTAATAATGCCCTCTGTGTGCTCTTACTGACCGTTGAAGAAGGAAAGCACTCACTGGTCCGACCAGCAACCTTGGCCTGTGCACGGCAGCGCCCTAAGTTGGGTGTGACCTGGAGTCGTGGCCCCTGTACTGGCAGACTCTCCTGTCACCCACCAGCCTCAGCTGATTGTTGTCCTGTAACCTCTGCTCGCTGCCCTTTGCCCTCTGCAGGCACAGCAGGCTGAGGCCGTGCCGACTGAACCCAGCTGAGGAGGCAGATTGTGTATCGGTGATGCTATGGTGACTCTCGGAAGGAAGGCTTCAGAGACAGCCCAGTGGGAAATCTGAATTTAGATGTACTGATAGATGTCGTCAAGAGATCTGAGACAGGAGAACAACGTTTCACGGATGCACAGGGAGGGACACTTTGCCCAGTGTGAGCTGTGCATGGAGCTGATACGGTTGGAGACAGGTTGTTTATATTGGAGCACAACTTTTAAACTTGCAGATTAATTTATATAATTGAGATCATTTGAGAAGAACATTCTACAAGCATTGATAAGAATTACAGAATACATTACACACATGAGGTCAGGATGGATGTAAGCACTGCTTTGTGAACAGGTTTATTATGGTCTCGCTCTGTAGCTCAGCCTGCTCTTGGAATTGTGATAGTCTTCCTCACTTGGCCTCCTAAGTGCCAGGCTCACAACTGTGTCACAGGGCCTGGCTTTATAAACAGGCATGCTGACTGTTGGAAGCCCTCAGGAATCGCCCAGGGTACCTCTGGCCAGTCTTAGGGGAAGCTGTTTACCCTATGTAATTGCTTTTTGATGAAGTCAGACGTTGCATGAGTGGCTGTCTGCCTTCGGGAGTGTACAGAAAAGCAGATTTGCTTGTGGCAGGTTCTTAGTTGGGAACTCAGACGTCAAGAGCGCACTGGGTGTTTGAATGGTGCTGTTCCATGGTGCTTCTTCCTGTTGAGTTATGTGTGACGGGTGCCATGGTAACTAAGGACTGATTTGTACGTGTTTATACTGTTGTGTTGGAGACATTTCTTTACAGTCCTCTACAGTGTGTATGTGTGGGTTTTGTTCTTTTTTTTTTTTTTACTTTGAAATGACCTTTAAAGTGTTTTTTTCTAGGCTATGGATTTTTTTTTTTTCAAAAAGGGTCATCTTGTAGCATAACGTGTACTTTGAGGTAATAAAGAATGATATTTTAGGAGATCAGGAACTCTCCGAGCCCAGCCAAATGTAGTTCTTTGGTCAAATGTGTGCTTGGGTCCTTGGTCTCTGTTTAGTTTGCCCTCCCTTCTCTCTTGAGCTACAGTAGAACCCACGGCATCCCAGGCATCTGACTGTGACATATACGGACAGGCAGTCCTGTATGGAGGGCGTCAGAGCCTAGCAACGCACAGTGAAGACATGGGTAGGTCTAAGAGATGATAGAATACCCACAGGAAGGACTTCCAGAAAGCAGAAGAACCTTTGTGGTGTTAAGAGGAGCCATATTGTCCGGTCCCCTTGTCCATTCCCTGCCCTGAGTTCCATAGTTGGTGGTTTCCAGGGGGCCAGTGACCGTCTTCAGCTGTAAAGCATCTAGACGAAAGTTTAGACAGAACAGCACCCGTTGGTTTAAGCAGTTGAGCTGCAGCTGGCTTCTCTACTTCCCTTCCAGGACATGGGGAGAAGCCCGTGGGGCACGTGGTGCTGCTGCTGAATTACAGCTCCAAGGAGCTGGTATATAAATGCCCAGCGGTGCACTTTGGCCTGGAGTTAACCCCTCTGCCCGCTGACTCGCTGGCTTTGAGCCCTTCTCTAGGGATGAGGGGGCTGCTTTTGTCAGCACTTGTCCCTTTATTACAGATATAGCAGCTCCTAAATGACCACTGTGGGACCACTGGCCTTGTTTTTAGTCTTAGTGGACTACGGAGGTTTCCAAACCAGACTCACAGTAGCGTGACAGCCTGAGCAGCACAGATCTTTCTGGAAGCAGTGTTCTGGCGCATTTGCCGTTTTACCAAGGGGGCACACAGCGTAGAGGCCCTTCAGCTCTGGGTGAGGTGTTTGAAGTTACAACAGACCCAGATCTTGTAGCTTGTCATACTGAGGGGAACGTGCCTTGCCCTTGAGAAAGCTGCTGCCTTTAGCCTGAGACTTGGCTGGATGTTGGCTTAACTGAGTCATTGTTGCATACTTCTGAGAGAATGTCTTTTTGTTATTCCCCTTCACTTTCTAGAATCAAAGTGAATCCGAGTGAGGTGGGCAGCCTCCAGCCTGGAGTGACCGGGTATCCAGCATTAATCTCATTTTCTCTGGAGTCACAAGGCTAGCACTTCTCAGTGTTCTTGCCTGTTGTGTGTCTCTGGAGTGCGGGCGGGGAGAATGGGACACAGCAACATACGACTTACATAACAACGTCACCCTGCTTCACAGTGGCCCTGTTAGGGACTGGAAACCCCGTCTTGTTTGGTGGGTCTGTATTGCGTGTGTGTTTTAGCATGTCTAAACACCTTTATCATGTATCCCTTCCCACCCAAGACCTAGCCCTGTGGTTTTGTTCTGTGAAAGACAGATGGCTACACCCTTCAGGACACGCACACTGCTTGCTTTAATCTGCTGTGACGGAGCAGTACAAATCTACAAAGGTCCAGCGTTCGCGGCTGTAAAACTAGCTCAAGCCAGCAGCCGAGCTCACCAGGCCCTCTGTTGAACAAGCAAGCAAGGGAAGATAGGGATCCTAGTTTGTTGGCATCTAGGGTCTGATTTAATGGTCCTCTGCAGGAGAGTGGGAAGGCTCCTCCGCTGACCTGTAGCAGCAGTGCGGCAGACAGACAGCCTTTCCCTGGAAACACGGGTGATTCTTAGCTTCTGATGTGAAATGAGTCACGATCACTCTCCAAGTTTATTTAAGTTCAAAGTTGTCTTGCAGTGGCTAGGGAAGTGGGGGTTTTAAGATCCTGGTCTCAGCGGTACAGAATAAACCTCTCAAAGATCTGTGGGCTAAAATGTGCCATTACCAATGAATGCTTTGTCTTCAGGCACTGAGATGAACGGCTCCTTGGGGTGATCATTGGCATTTCCGCCTTATGTCTCAAAGGAACCACACCTCTTTGAAGGGATTGACAAATGCTGTCGTGTCAAATGTGGAAGATAATAGATGCTAATTCGTAGTTCGCGTCCCTCCTGCATTCAATTAGAGCTATTGTGTTTCTGGATCTCTTTAGCTGTGGGGTACATTGTCGCTGGAGCATGTAGTTTTTAATCAGTAATTGTTCGTAGGTTCCTGAAAGGTACAAAGTTTCTTCTATCTTAGGCACTTTTCCCTTGCTCAACACGAGGAAACAGTAGGATTCTGCAGTGTGACAGGCGTTCCCTAGGAAAACAGACATAGTCAGCTCCACTTTGTAGCAAGCTGGTCTTTCTCAAATGCCCTAACTTCAGTGTGATGCCATTCACTATAGTGGCATTCTGTGTAGAAGTTTCGGGGTGCTGGGGGAGGTTGTGATAGGGTTTCTTTGTGTAGCCAGCCTGCAGAACTTTTGGTGGTTGTTTTGTTTTTGTTTTGTTTATCTGTATATCCCTGGCCGTCCTGGAACTCGCCGTATAGACCAGGCTAGCCTCAAACTTAGAGATCCACTTAGTTCTGCCTCCCTAGTGCTGGGATTAAACGTGTGCCCTTGTGCTTGGCTAAGTTAAATTTGTAATGATTAAGATTTCTCTGAAGCCTTTCAAGAAAAAATATGTATGTCCTTTTTGCTGTGTCATTTGGTAAAAATACTGAGCCTTTGAAGAACAACTTCAGACATTAAGTTCATCTTCAGTCTTGTTCCACAAAGTCCAAAACCCGAGACCAGATGATGGCGTCAGAAAACAGCCTTGTGAAGACCACGTGGGACGCTCGCCCTACCGCTGACAGCCGTGCTTCCGGGGGAGGCGCTTGGCCGGTGCTTCCGGGGGAGGCGCTTGGCCACACTACGCTGACGTTCATCTAAAGGGGGTGCAGAGCTCACAGTCAAGGCTGCTGTGTCTGCAGCCAATAGCGAATGGTGCTTTAGTTCTGTGCTCTGATGTTTCCCCAAATAAAACTTTTCTAAGTAACAGAGTTGTGACCTCACCTACCTTCTTTAGGAGTCGCTCCACTGAAGATGGAGCAGGAGGATGGGTCTTGAAATGCCTTGGGGCTCCTCCCTGTCTGGTGCTGTGTGACATTCAGGAGTCTCCACAGTACTTGGTACAATCCAGCTGGCAGTAAGTGAAGGAAGCCCACAGGCTGGCTGGGGTTTACAAGGTTTCTGGTGTCTGGTTGAGCTGTCTGGATGTGGGCAGGCGGACATGAGCGCCTGTTCACCTCTGCTCAGGAGAAGAACACTTCTGCGAAGGAAGTAAACACACTTCGCAGGTTTAGCAGGCACGCGCAATCTTGGCAGAGTGTAGCTGTAGTGAGCACACTATAAAAGCTTCCGGGTCCCCAGCTGTCCCCCAGGGATCTGCGTGCTGCACTCATTTTCTGTAGCCCCAGAGTATAACTGCATACTCAACAGCTCAGAGCACCATTGCTGGTCTTGCAGCTCCCTGTGCCAGGAGTGTGGACAGCCTATCCAGTCCTCAGCTCAGGGTCCCAGGTGCCATCAATGGCAGGATGGCAGGTGGTGGTCTCTGGAGACTGAGCTGGAGAAACTGCTGCCTGCAGGAGCCAGCCCTACCACCTGCTCATCTCTGGGATTTTGGCCCGGGCCCCTCCCTCCTATCTGAAGTAGCCACAGGTAGGTATCATTGCTTAATGGCTTTGCAGCCTTGGCTGTTTTACTGTTATCTCCTTTCTATTAAACCATCAGCTCTAAGATCAGCTGCAGGAAGTTCCCCCGCCTTTCCACCCAGCCTCCTATGCTGACACCTGACCCTCCCGCCATCCCGAGACGCCCACGAGGCAGGCTGGTTCCTTGTCCCTGAACTCCCAGCACCCAGACCAGTGCCCACCTACAGAGATTGCTTACTCAAACACTGAATTCTGTGGTTGCTAGGTGCGGAGGGGAGTGTGGGTCAGAAGTGAACTCTTCCCTGGGCCAGTTACTTAGCTCTACTACACATCTGATTTGCCCAATTTAAGACAGTCAGGTTCACACCCATCTCCCCCCCACACACATCAGTGATTGAGTGTCGCATCCACCCTCGACCAGCAAGGAAAAAGCAACACTCGGAGCTCTTCTTGCAGCAGTTTTCAGGACTTTATTCACTTTCTCTCTCTCTCTTTCCCCTCTCTCTCCTTCCTCTCTTTGTTCCCCTCTCTCTTTCCCTCTCTCTCTCTCTCTCCTCGGGCAAACCTCTCCCAGCCCTTAAGTAGGCATGGGCTGCCAATCCCGGATTGTCAGGTGGGCACTGCCTATAGGTTCACGCATATGCAAGCAGCTGACAATCATTTCGTGATAATAGCATAAGTCAGACTTTAGCCATAGGAGTTGATTATACATCTCCATCAGTTATGGCTTCACGCAGCTCGCTACAATTGAGAACCTGACCCCGGGCCTCTCCTTGACATTAGTGCCTGCCGTCCACACTGGTGCTCACTGGCCCCAGCAGTCTCATTTTCTTAGGGTTCTCACACCGACAATATTATATGAGAGTTCGTCTGAGTGTTCTAGTGTCTGCTGTTTCTGGGATTAAAAGTTCCCTGACAAAAAGCAACAGGGAAGAAGGGTTTATCTGGGCTTGCTGTTCCAGAGGGATCGAGTCCTTGTGTTAGGGAAGTCTCGGCTATAGGCAGGGGAGATATGGTCGGGGAAGGAACCCAGTTGATTTCACCTGCAGATGGGGAGACGGAATCAGATGTGGGCTGAGGCCGTAAAACCTCAGCGCAATCCTATTGTACTTCCTCCAGCCAAGATCCCCTTCCCAGATGTTACATAACCTTCCTAAACAAGGCCGCTGGCTGGGGACCAAGTGTTCAACTAAGAGACCAAGTTCTCTTCAAACCATAGCGGGCTCATCACCAGTTGGAAGTGCCGATTCCATTTGAGTAAGAAGGGGGGCACTTGTTCTCAGTATGCATCCATCCACGAAGAGGTATATTCTGTCATAGCCCCTCCTGTCACCCAGGGATCTAAGAGGAAAGGAAGGAGATGCTGGACTGGCAGCTGCTGACCTTGACCCACAGCCCTGGGCTCTTCCAGATAACACCGAGTTACAGCAGCTAAACTGTAGAATCGAGAAATAGTCACCTTCTATTTCTTACACCCTCAAACTCCCGTGTTCTGGCAGCCCCTTCATGAAAGCAAAACAGGAAGAGCGCGGTGTTCTTGGTGTTCCAGCAGAGACGGGGCAGACAGGCCCATGGGGGAAGGAGGGAGTAGGCCTGTCATTGAAGCATCCCTTTCAAGAGCCAGTTTCTAAAGTTGCCGTGTGTCTTTTCTCTCGCACACACACACAACAAATAAAAACAAGAGGAGCTGAAGTGCTGTCAGAATCACTTCCAAACCCCCAGAAACGAAATCCGCATCGCGTCTAAGTGAAGACGGTCATCTAGAACCCAAGCTTCCGTGAAACTTGAGGAACATAAAGGGAAATGTTCTCCCGGTAATTTCAGAGGGAAGGACACTCGGAGGTCTTAGCGTTCCTGTCATTTGTTCTGAGTCTGTGAAGTGCCTGTTACAAAGGAAGCTTCGCTGAGAACAGAGGCCCTTGAGGCTCTTCACCATTGCTTCGTACTTTACAGACACCGTCTCCGTGAGAGGAGAAGTTTCATTTTAAAAGAAAAGAAATCGCAAGAGTAAGCGAGGGGTGGGGGAGTAGGCTACAAGTATCATCAGGGTGGGAGAGCTTGTCCAATGGGATACAATAGAGGACACTGTGGAATTTTCAAATTTCTTATCCACATAAAGAAATGAAATGGGCAGAATGAATGTTAGTAGTCATACTAACCAACTGAATAACCCAGAATATTAGTTCACCTTTCAGTATAAGAAATAGCAGGGGGGCTGGAGAGATGGCTCAGAGGGTAAGAGCACTGATCGTTCTTCCAGAGGTCCTGAGTTCAAGTCCCAGCAACCACATGGTGGCTCACAAAGAAATCTGGTGCCCTCTTCTGGCCTGCAGGCATACATGCAGACAGAACACTATATACAAAATAAATAAATCTTTTATTTTTTTTAAAAAAAAAGAAATACCAAGGTATTTTACATCTTTCTTACCTAACTTTTTAAGTTAGACATAAATGTTTGGCTTGCAGTGCTTCTTGTTTGAGACTGACCATACGCAAGTGCCCACAGCGCCGTGTGGCTGGTGGTCGTTTTTGACAGAGCATGTCAAAATCCGTTGAGCTGCGTTCTCACCTAGTGATAGCACTACGTTTTTCTCCTTTCTGAAGGCACTGTCACTGTACATGGATTTAATTAACAGTGGCATGTAACCGTGAAAGCTGACACATTTCTAGGGATTTATGCACACTTAAGGTGAGATGCACGTTAATATCTCCTCCCTTGACGCTTGTTAATCCACAGTGGGAGCTTAATAAGCTGCGCTGACCACTGCAGCCCCATCTCTGTTTGCCCTGGGTGTGCACTGTTTGATTTGCATGTACACCTCTTACTCCTCCGTCCTCAAATAGGCGGAAGCACTGTTAGATCTTGGTGCCTTCATCGTATTGACCACTGAAGCATGATAAGGCAATAGTTATCCAGGACCTGTGCAGTGGGTTTGGAAGCCTTGGAAAAGGGACCTCGCAGTGAAATTTTGAGCCCGGTCCCAAATACAGTAAAGCCAGGTGAGTTAGATACTCAGGAAGAGGGACAGACTCAGAAGTGGGAACTAGCAAAACAAGAAGGATCCTGGCTTACTACGGGGTGGGGGATCAGACACTCCTGGCAAGAGGCAGACATGGGGCCTTGATCTGACATAGAAGGTGGTCAGGTACCATGGAGGGTTCTTGCTAAAAGTAGATTTGGGGATGCTCACTAAAGAGCCTACGGGAAGGTTCAACAGGCAGATTGGCCAAGAGAAGAACCCTCACTGGCCGCTCCAGCCTCAGACTGGTCTCCTGCAGAGCACAAGCTGAAGGGAGAAGACTCAAAGCTTTTACCCACTGAAGGCAGCCACGGTGCCAGTCATTCTTCAGTGGGAGCCCGGGTGGATGTGGGGCAGAGGCAGTGAGCACGAAGTAGATAAGGTTAAAAAGACCAATCAGTAGACACTGAGTTATTGATTTGTTTAGTGGTTTTACTTAAAGCACTGTTTGTACTGCCTACTTGCCAAGCAGGATTTCACTTGCTATGTGAACCAGAAACATGGAGAATTGGCTGAAACAACCCGCTGGCTGCCCCGCCTTGTGGTTTGGGGATAGAAAATGAGAATACAAAGAGGACCCAGGATTGAAAGCTTTCGGGAGCTAGTCTGCCTTCCATCCACCAAGGACGTCTCTCTTCCACTCCACTGGTGTTGAATGCTTAGATTCCCACAACACACTACAACAGAGTCTAAGGGTGGAGCTGGCCGCCAGCCCCTGGCCAGGGTAGATGAAACCTGCACCTACCGTCTCCGGGCAGGCTCGGCACAATGGATTTAACGAGAACACTCTGGGAGGGGGAGCTTGAGAGAGTGCAGCTGGAAACTGTCCTGGAGATTTCTTTCCACACACAAGTCACTGACTGAGGTAGAGAGAAGCTTGTGAGTGTGGAGTCAGACACACGCATCGTATCTCAGAGTGGTGTGGCCCTGAATGACCTCATGATCCTTATCTGTAGGATGGAATAGTCTCCCAGGTTTGGGTATACCTCAACTGTGAAGCTAATTGCGAACAGACGGAAAGCTGCCAAAGCAGCGCAGCAGAGAGAGATGTCATTCTGCGGTTCCCCTAGCTTTTCTCAGTGGCACCCTCTTTTACATAATGATATTGTTTCAAAACAGGAAACACCAACCCATTGAGCCAGTCTGCACTGCAGACTTCCTCTGGACTTGCCCAGTTTGGGGCACATTTACACGCATGTGTATGCACAGGTGTGTACCTGCATGTAATTTCCAATGGAAATAAGAATCATCTGTCGCTGCCAAAGGACTCTTCCCACCACCCCCCGCATAGTCCTGCCCATCCT